ACGACCTGTTCTACTTCTGCAATGAAAAGTTACTTAACTAATATATATAATTTACTTAACAAGATACTTAACTAATTGTACCTTGCTGTCTATTCAAATAAATTTGTCTTTTTTGACAATTATATATGTATATATTCTGGAAGATAAATGCAGATTGAAGTGATACTGTTACTAACATCAAAGTCGTTTTCATGGTTTCTCATAGACAAACTTTGTGCATGCCAAAAATAACTACAGCATGTAGCTGAAAGACAGACAGTTAATTTTTCTCCAGTATAACTTAGGTTTACAAACCAAGAACACAGCCCATTGTTCCATGACTTGAATTTGACTATGCCTATGACTGAAGGAATTCAACTGCTTATTCTCTAAAACAACTACTACCATATCATCTCAATAGTTAAACACCACCCCTAGGCTACAGAATAAAGACACTGACTGAGAAAGACAGAAACAATTTACAGGTATTTCACATAACAATTTTTCCAGGCTTTCCACAGGCTCATACAGAAAGTCAGTTGCATTTTGCTGGTATTCTAAGGGCTCCAGTAATGAAACAAATGACAATAATGTACTTGGAAAAACTTCCTCAATGCATACTCTTGAAAAAATAACATTGTTTTATGCAACTGTCTGACCTTTCCTGTGCCAATAATGAATCCATCTCGCTGGAGTTAAGGTTTCCATACATAAGAGAAGAGTCATATTCAATGTGCAATATGATAATGCTGTACAACACACAACAGGAGGCTGGAAGGCATAAGCAGAGGTGACAATGGATGCAATAGTTTTCTTCCTTCAGCAAATTTCATATTTAAGTTCTTCAGCAAGAAAATAAATATCAGACATAACAAAGGTTTACCTGACTAAACCAAAAGCTTTATGCAGTGTTTAAGAAAAATAGTTTGCTGGAAACCTAGCCAGGGAAATATATTTTGTGGATAAAGAGTAAAATATCAGTATTCTTAGTGCACAAGCAAAAAGAGAACACTGGAGGTGATGAAGTGAGTATTGCTTTCAGGCACTGGGCAGTTTCTTCAGTGAAGTGGTGTGAATTTACATTACATTTCAACTCAGGCTTTCTTCCCCAAGCTTGACCTAAAACATCACCAACCATGAGACACAAGAAATGCGAGACAGGAGAGGAGAGAGACCCCCTGATGCAAAGGTTTAGGTCAGCTGCAGTTTGTTTAATTTATACAGCTGGAGAACCAGGCTGTTTCTTGAGATTTATTTTTTTTATTTTATGAAGGGATTGGATTTGCGGTGTATAAATCATAACCACCAACCACAAGTAAACAAAATACAGGATTTTGCAAGCTAGTTAACACTTCTTTGCATGTGAAAATATTGAATATTGATTGTATATGAAATAAAGATGTATTCAAATTGAAACACAGAAATTGGGAATGGTAATAAGCTTTGATAGTTTTACCTTAGCAGGGCTTAGTAAAGACACTGCATGTTTATTACAGATTCCCAAAGAGAATTAAGTCTATGAAGAATGGGAAACATTGAAATGCTTCAGAGAATTAGAGAAGGCACAAATACCTCGGTATGCAACAGCAGTCATTTGGCTCCAAAAGCTGAATTTGATTACATCCCATCCAGTATATTTGCTGAATACAAAATTAGTAGCTTATTCTACATTAAAATTAATATATATATATATATATAATTTCTCTTCCACCTGCTTCAGGCACACACAAAAAAAAGAGAAACAGAAGAATCAGTTTTGAGCTGTGCACTGCATAAACTCTTACTCTGCTTAAAATTCCAAATTGTATACCCAGTGACTCTGTAAATTAATTACATTTATAGGTTTCTTAGTTCTTAGTCCAACAAATGAGTATTTTTGCTATCTGCACAAGAAAGTTCACTTGCCATCTCAATTATAAAATTGAAAAATGCCTTAACAGCATTTTAAAGTAGTTCTACATAGAAGGTTTATGGAACTAGTAATCCAAGTATATGAAGAGTCTTATTTAAATAAGTTATGTACCTACCAGCAGAACCAAAGTTCAACATAGTACTGGAGTGAATGCCTGGGTTCAGTTTTATCTTCCTAAAAAATGGCAAGGCAGAACTGTTTGCTTTTGAAATAGAAGAGGGCATAACGGGAGAGGGCCGGAAGAGTAAATCTGGATAAACAAATGTGTTATTTAGCTCAGTTAAGTACAGAGTAATTTAGTTATACTCTAGAGATGGCAGTTAATTGTAATTCAGTACAGCCTATGAGGTTTTATGAAAAGACTAGAAACTAACACAGTTAAGTATTTCTACATATTCCAGCTAAAAGGTCACTGACTACCAAAGATCTTGGTCCATAGGTGATGTGCTGATTACTATTCACTCTCTTACACATTAGATACCTTTATTGCTGTGGAGATGCTTAAAGTGCTTTTTATGGCTGCATTTGATGTTGCAGGTAATGCTATATAATTGCATTTAATATAGTCATAAACCACAGGATATTCAATTTATACTTTCTCGCTTATTAAAAAGGTTTAAACTAATTTTTTTATTTTCTGTTTTTATTGGGTTCCTATGGAACATTACGGAAAAAATACTCAGTAGTGTAACTATCCTGTACAGACCCAGTGCAGATTTATTTCTTCCTAAGGCCCAGCTTCCTGAGCCAGAACATCCTCACCCTCACTGCTTTCTCTACTTTTCTACCAAGGCTGCAGCAGAACTGCATGTTTCTCAGCCACCCAAATTCAAAGATAGGTGCCCTAACCCAGGTCAGTTTGCTCTCCCACAACGTGGGGGAGCCCAGTTCTAGTTCCATCTCCATCTGATGAACCATTCCGACATCTTGAGGGAAGGGGAAAGGGAACTCCAGCGACAGGGTTTTTCAGGCCCCGAGCCTGGAGGGGAGAGGTGCCCTCCCCTCCCCCCAGCACCCACGTGGCCCCATGGCGGGCGAGAGGAGGCAAGAGAGAGTTTATTGCTGGGGGTGTTACATTTATAGGGTTAGGAGGAATCACAGAGTAACCAATTAGAAGTCTCAAGGGGCTTACAGGAACACCCAATCACAGGAAGGGGTTAACAAGGTCCAATGGGAAACACCTCAGGACACCTTTCCCAGGACATTCCTGCATGGGAGATAACAGTTGTCCTGGGGGTTGTTGGGAAGAAGAAACAGGTGTTTGCAAAGAGACCACAAAGAGCCATTTTAAGACATGTTTAAACAAGTTTCTCATCAGATTTAGTGCTACACCTCATTATAGCTCCAATGAACTGATGAAGTTTTGATTAGGTAAACAGATAGTGAGGGCAACTAATTTGGCTAAACATTCCTATACTCAGCTGGGGAGGCACATCTGGACTGCTGGCACCAGTGCTGTGCACCCCAGTACAAGAGAGACACACACATACTGCAGAGGAACCAACAAGATGGGCCATTAAGACAATTAAAGGCTTGTAGTATCTGATACAGAACAGGCTGAGAGAGATAGGACTGTTATCCCTGGGGAAGAGCAAGCTTTGTCGAAATCTTATCTTAGTGCATAAATACTTATGGGTCTGAGCAAAGACAACAGAAACAGACTTCTCAGCAGGGCACAGTGACAGTGCACAAGGCAAAAACTGAATTATAGGAATATAGTTCTACAAAAAGTCCTACTTTAACTCATTAATTTTTAATTAGTTTTATTGTGATGTTTGCTTGCCTTTTTTTTTTATTTTTAAACCATTGGGGTAGTCAAATGCTGGACTACATTACTCAAAGAGGTTGCAGAGTCTCAGTCTGTGGAGAGATCCAAAATACAGCAGGACAGCTCTGAACAACTTGCTCTAGATGCTTCTGCACTGAGCAAGGCATGAAACCCGATGATCTCCAGAGACATCTTCCAACCTCAACCACTTTGTGAAAGATGAAATCAAGTGTGCTAAGGAGATATGATCTAATACACCAGGACAGACAAAAAGGCTCATATCCCAGAACACACTGGTACAGAAGAAAAAGGAAAGAAAAGGCACTAGGCATTTGGTAAACAGCCACTCATCTTCTAAGGTGCTGGTTCCAGGATATGCTTGAAACTGTTAGTCGGTAGCTGCCTGGAGTCATAAGTGGACTCGAATGCTTAGATATCCAGTAATCATTGATATTGTGTTCTACTTGGGGTTTTTTGTTTCTTTTTTTCCAATCAAACACCTACACTATGCATTTGCTTTCTCCAGCTCATGGACCCCTGCTTCAAACTGAGGGTGAGGAGCAAGTGAAAGATCCTACCATTCAACAGATTTTGGGATGCACAAGAAGATGGGAGATGAGCTACAGAACGCTTGGGAGATTTTGGCAGGTGGTGGCAGGCTGAGCAAGCAGGGCTTAGTCACACTGCTCGGGAGGAACCCAGAGAGCACCTAGATAAAGGAACATGCAACATGTTGAATGGTGGAGTTAACCAGGGAAAACATAAGGAAAGGAATCACACACATTGACTGGAAACACCTAACAATGAGATGGATGGGTTTGCATCATCCTAAGAAGGGATGAGCTTCTCTGAGGTGCATTAGTATAGAGAACAAAACATTTAGAAAGTGTGTTGGGAGACAGCAGTTCAGCCAATTCAATCAAAGCTTGGACTGCTAAGTGTAAAATGCTGCAGGACAGAGGCAAGGGAATAGCCAAAACCCATATGGACAATGATCTGCGATTGATGTTTCCTCCTTTAATCCTTTAGAGGAGAAAACAGTCACTCCATCAATACCCGATCCTGTATTAAGGATCTGACCATTAAAGATCTGACCATTATCTGACCATGTTTCCTAGAATCCCAAAACCTCTTTGCAGCACAGCAACCTCTGTCTCTTCCCTGAAACTGCAAGTTTATCTTGAAAGAAAGGGATATTTCCAAATTCTCTTGAAGAAAAGCACAGTCACCAGTCAGAAAAGCAGTCAGCTCTGATTGTAGAAAAACATGGAGAACCAGTAACTGTTATTGTCTTTATCCTTATTATACATCAGGAACATCACATGACCCCCAAGTTCCAAAACCGTTTTAAAATATAACAGTATGTTGCACAATTTTGCAAATTCCTAGCAACTATCCCACCTCCTCTTCCTGGATCCAGCTGGGATGGCTGAGGGCAGACCTAGAAAATATCATATGTGCTCTCCCTTACAGAACTTTCTGTCCAGTGATGCAATGACCTTTCAAATACATTCAATGACCTGTAACAAGGGTTTGAAAATTCATCATTAGTCTGAGTTTAGTAAGCACAATACTATAGTGTAAGAAGAAATACAAATCATCAGAATTATATGGAGAATTATTTGCTAAGAATTCATGAATTCCTTCCATTTTAACCATCTGATACTTATTAAACTACAAAATTATACACTGATTCCTATGTTACCTGTAATTAGTAGTTTTAAGACTGAGGGTGCTTTATTTTTGTATTAATGACTTGATGCCTCATATTCTTAAAAATGGCTTGTAGTGTTTGATTATGCCACATTTCCTTCTTATTCATTGCTTGCATTCAAAATACATAGCTGGGTTTTTGTTTAAGCATCTCAAAAGCCATTAAACAGTAGGTATTTGTAAGATGTTAGTGCCATTTCCAGTTTGCCTCAGCCAAGATCATAACCCAGTTATCTGTAATCATCACTCACAACTGAAGCCAAATTGGTAGTTCTTCAGGGTTTCTACTGAAAAAGGACTCTAAAAAAAGTGAAATAGGATGCTGGGGGAGGAGAGAAGAACACTGCAATTTTAACAAAGATAAACGCAACTTATTTAGTTTTCACTATTGAAGTGGAACTGTAACTTTATCCTAGCAGCAGTTATAGTTATCTTACTTTTGAAGAGATAGACTTCTCATCACGTTGTTTCTTCTTCTGTTGTACAAATCCGAAATTCATTGAACCTCCTATAAAACAAAATAGAAATTACTTTGTAGAAGGAAGAAATGCAAGAACAGGAGAAACTCTGGATTCTTTTCGAGAATATTTCTGCAGGAGTTTTCAAAATTTTTCAAATTCTTTTCAGGCTTGATTTATTGAGGGATGTAGAATTTGCCTTTATTATTGAAACAACTTTTAATACTGGGAACAGTTACACTTTAATTATATTAACAAGACCTGCTTGATGAGTTAGGGCAGGCCTTTGTTATCCAAACTTATTTCACAGCAATTTCCAGGAGCTCATCTGGGGCAAAAACTCATGTCTGACTTCTAGACAGTGTTTTAGCATCAGCGCTGTTTGACCAAGAAGAAAAAGAATTTTGCTTAAGTGTTACAGGCTTCTGGAACATACTCTGCTTTCACTTGTGCTCAATGTCATGGTGACCTTGAGAATGTACATAATTCATGGAAGCACAGTACATTTATTGTGAGAGAATGTGCTCCCTGTTTTTTCTTGTTTGGACTCTGCCCTGTTATACCCATGTAACCCTAGAGGCTGCTAATTGACAGTAGCAACAGACACAAAAAGAATTTAAAGCCCTTCTAGCATATTATTTTATTCTTAAAACATCATAAATCATGTTTTACAGTGCAACACTGGGAAACATCCCTAATCTTTGCAATGATTCCAGTTCCACCCCACAACTATTTTATTTTTTCATAAAGGATTTAGAAGTGACAGCGACCTCCATAGGTGGACATTTCAGCTCCAGAATATGCAGGTAGATGAGCTGTGCCTCTAACCAGCAGATCACTGGAGAACCTCAAGAGTAGGCTCAAGCCATGTGTCACATCCTAGGGATCCACCCAAGGTCTGAAGGCCTGGCCTTCAGAGCCACAGTCAAACACAGCTGCCAAGACTTCAAAGAAAATCTGCAAAAACCAGTAAATAAATATATAAATATTAATAAATTATTTATAATAATTATTAAATATTATTTTTTTAAAGACCTATTCCATGGTTTAGCCAGAGAAAGCTGTTTGACAGTGCTGTGGAACTGCCCCAAATGCAGCAGGGAGGCCACCTGGTACAACACAGCATCATGTTCCTCATAATGTTGTAGCGCTGTTTGCATTTTACTGCATGTCACAAACAGGTAATCAGTGCATCAGTGGAAAAAAGGCAAGTCCAAGGAACAAACCTAAAGTAGATCAGCTGGTGAATTTAGTCTAGTTTATAATAAGGTAAACTACTCTGAGTTGAGTTTTTATTACATCCATCACAATGGTATTTGATATTTACTTACGTAAATCCAAAACATCTGGACATCTGTTTATGAAGAAATAAGCTTTTTTTTTTTTCCCCTAAAACCAGCTAAAAGCCCCTTCATAATGCTTGCAAAAGTATTTTATGAGGAGCTGAGTGGCAGCAGAGACATTTTAGTGGAAGATGAGTTACATTAGCATCACTGAGGTTATGCTCTGTAGCATACCTAAGATGTTTGCTTAGACATTGTAGTCTTAGTGATCTTCTTTGAATCCGTTTTAATTTTTCAACATTTAATTCTGGTCCCCCTTCCGTCCCTTTCTGTTACCTGACTTGCCTTACCAATCCTCTCCGTTTGTTCCTGGCCAACCCCTATCCTGTTATGCAACTCTACTTCCAGAACTTGCTTTCTTTCACTCATTTCTCCCCTGCTCCCCAGTCAACAATTCCAGAGCTGTAGCTGAAAGAGAAAAAAACAACATAATATCCTGGTTTCACCTAGGATACAGTTTATTTTCTTCCTAGTAGCTGGTACAGTGCTATGTTTTGGATTCAGTATGGGAATAATGTTGGTAAAACATGGATATTTCAGTTGTTGTAATCAGGAACATTTCAGTGTCACCGGCCTTGCCAGTAAAGAGGTACACAAGAAGCTGAGAGGGAGCAAGGCCAGGACAACTGACCCAAATAAGCCAAAGGTGTATTCCACAATATAGAATGTCATGCCCAATACACAAACTGGGGGGAGCTGGCTGGGAGGGGCTGATCACTCCTTGGGGATAGGCTGGGCATCAGTCAGCACGTGGTGAGCAACTGTGTTGTGCATCCTTGTTTATCTTGAGTTTTATTGCTTCTGCTTTCTCCTTTTCATTATTAATGTTACTATTAATTAGTATTATTAGTATTATACTTTTTTGTTTCAATTATTGAACTGCTCATATCTCAAACGACAAGGTTTATTTTTTCCCCCAATTCTCTTCCCCACTGTGCATGGGGGGGCGAGCAAGCTGTTTGGTGCTTAGGTGCTGACTGGAATTAAGCCACAACACATAACAATAAAAGAAAACACCCCTCCAAGAAAACACACACCCTAAAAAGCAAAAAAAAAAAAAACCTCAAAACAGACACAAACACACACAAACACTCCCCCCCCTCCATTTCAGGGCTGTCTGCTTCACCACAGGACAGCAGTCTTAAGGTTTTGACTCCTGCATCTCTAAAGCATCTGAGCACGTGAATCCCAAATTTAAAAAACAAAAAAATAGTATGGAAGCTCCCAGAAGAGCAAACCCCCTGAGCCAATCTCTCACAGACTCCCTACAAACCAGGACTGCCAAAATAATGCAAAAGCCCTGCAGAGTTTTCAGCCAGATGAAAGCATATGTATTCCAGTTTTGTTTTTAGGAAGAGTTTCTGCCTGTTGTTTAGCGAGAAGGGCTAAAAAAGGTAAGGGCAATCCTATCTGGCATAGCAGCTTGCACTGAGAGAGTTGCAGTTTGACTGCAAAACAGCAACTGAAACACTCTTGTATTGAAAAAGCATCAGGCAGTTTTAGCACCAAACGCTACCCCTTCCATTTATACCTTGGTTGTTTATTTCAAGGGCTGATGGCCACAACTGATATTTAATGAGGACACAACTGAGAAGAAATCTTAAAAGGAAATCCCCGAGTTCGTTGATTGATCAGCCCTATTAAAAAAAAAAAATATATGAGGAGAGGACCAGAGTACAGAAGTGAACCCTGGAGGTGTAGCTAGCACACCCTATGCTCATGCCTCCCTCTTTTCCAGATCTCTTGATGGGAGTTTCTCTAAAGAAAGGGAAGAGGATTTTGCTGCTGCAGCAGCAACTTTGCAGGGTTTGAGAGTTTCCCTGCTTACAGCAAACAAGGTTCACATCCCCCTGAAGATCTGATAGGGAAAATCGAGTGGTGCCACATCTCAGCAGCTACATAATCAACAATTCGCTTGGAGACTTCCTCAGGTGAGAAAAGTAAAAATCAACCAGACTGAAACCTTCCATCCTTTCTGGAGCTCAGGTATGTCATCCATAAGATTGCTTCCATAAATTAGATACATTTAGCCATTTATCTCCATATGTCCACTCTCTGAAGGAACAAATTTATGGAAGTTCACTGGTTCTAACTGATGTAAATTAATTACAAAGCTTACATTTTCCATACTTTGTTGGATGCAATAATTACATTATGTGACATGAAAGCAGAAACTGTAGAAAATACACTTTTTGAGCTAGTCATCTAACAGCAGCAATGGAATATTTTGGTCATAGAGTTAATTTTAAATTGGAAATTAAGATTTTAGTAGAATAAAATAAAAAACAATTCACTGAAAAGCTTATTTTCTACTGTTACTGGCAGTTCACGTTAAAATTAAGCTGCTCTCCTGAGCATTCTCACTCAAAAATCATCTCTGTACTGAATAAACTCATATGACCTGAATATGTTGCATCTGCTAGTAGGCAATAAGTGCTAAAAGGCAGTAGACTGGAATTACTGAAGGAGCTGTAGAAAACAGTTATAAATGAGAAAATATCTTGAATGACATTTAAAACAAGTCTAACATGTAAAGCATGCAGGAAAAGCCTATCAATGAAGAGAGGGGAAAATGAATGTTATGTCCATTTATATTTAAGGTATAGCCCTTGAGACTAGCTTGGGACCTCTTGAAAAACGTGATTTTTCTTGGCTTCTCGAGCAAAATGTATAACTTTTCTCACTCAAACCATCAAGATGAAGATGAAATTGCAGATGGTTCTTTACACGATTGTGACATTTTTATCAAGGAAGGAAAAGGCTTCTTTAATTAACCTTAAGTGTATATATACATTTATGTATTATAAATGAGTTTTTCCACCATTTCAGGATGACAGTTCCTGCTTTCTAACTCCTCACTAGTTTAAAGACACTCTTCTTTCCAAGTGTCATCTTGCCAAAAACAACCCATTAAGGCTAAGTGGAACACAGGCTTTTTAAAATTCATCAGGATTCACAAAACTATTAAAGCACATTTCCCTTCCTTTCACCAGAATGGGAATATTAATGACACCACCATCATCTGGAGCACAAATAGCATACTGCATTCACTTGGCACATGAACAGAAGTTTAGTGGGCTTTTTTTTTTTTTGCATCACAATACTTATTAGTGGGATCACTTACAGTGCACCTTGGAAAGAGCTATTTCCATATTATTGCGGTAAATGCTTTTCTAGGAGAAGAGCAAAGCAAGATATTTTAGTCCGTAGGGAAGTTGCAAAGTTGGGTGGAAGCTGCCTTTTACTGTGTCTTTTTTTTTTTAACACTATTAGTAAAAACAAGGACTTTGTAATTCAACAGTAGGCTGAAGCCAGAGAAAGATAAGGAAGGGGGAAAAAGAAAAAAAAAAAAAAAAGGTGGGCATAGGAAAATTCCATTCAGGTTCCTGAGAGGAAGGAGGTATCTGGGGGACTAGAGGCAAGATAAACTTTTTGGCACCAGCATGCGAAAGGATGATAGATGCTAATGGAAGTAAAACTGTTCTTCATCAGTCCAGGTAATCAGCACAGAGCACAAACCACAGAGTCAGCACCAAAGGCTGACATCCCAGGTGAGGCAACTGAGCACAGCTATGCAAATGTTCTTCCATGATTTGATCTCCGCTTATGGGAGGTGACAACAGAGCTCTCCATTTAGAAAGCATTGCCTTGCTTAACTTATCAATGCATAAGCACCAGCAGAGGAGCTGACCTTTAAACAAGACATCTCTTCTGACAAGAGAAGCACAGTTAACTTATACTAAAGCAGCAGCTTCTGGCTGCAAGCAGGACCATGACAGTTTGGACAGCAAGTTAGCAGTAGATGTTGCAAAAGTCCTGAGATTTGTCTTTTAGGGGGGAAGAGGAGGAGTATGGAACAGGGAAAGAATAATTCACTGAAACTTGCATTGTTTCAATTTGGGACAGACTAACACAAGTCACCTCCATATATGAGCAACACATGATTTAAACCCCAGTATGTCACTGCAGATCTCAGTCATAATTCTTATTAGCGTTCCCACTACAGAATATATTTACTCCAAGATGCTTGAAAAATAGATGACTTCTTAGTTGCCTTCTTTGAAGTGGATTTTGGTCTTCCCTCACATCTCTCCCCTTTCAGTTCTTGATGTAAACAGAAAGCCATTTAGTTTTGACTCCTCCTCCATCACCTTCTTTTCAGGTAATTTATGACATACAGGACATATGTTTATATATTTGATTTAAAAGCAGCACACCCTTATGCTCTAGAGGTATTACACATTTAGCATAATTTTCATCAGCAGTATAACCTCCTTCTTGTTCCTTACTCAAGCAATATTAATGTTCAGCAGTACCATAGCAGCACAAACTGCAAACAGAAACACTTGGAAAAATTCAAATCAACAAAAAAAAAGAAATCAGAAAGAACACAGACTGTCACAGTACAGACCTGTATGGACATATGGCTGGGAAAGTCCATTTCTTATGGAGGTCTATATATAAATACATAAAGCTTTTTCAAATACTTGTGACAGGTGGTCAAGGCAAGAAATTAATTACACAGGCTCCTCATAGGATAAATAATCCTGTCCTGGCTCACTAATATAAATCTCAATAAGATAATTT